TTTTATGATTTTCATTGTAGGATCTTTCAGCTTTTTGGTTATGTTTATCCCTAGGTATCATTATTTGGGGGTGGGTAGCAACTGTAATGAAACAGCTTTCTTGGTTTCTTTTTTATGTGTTTCACTGTTGATGCATGTGTGTGCTACTCATTTGTGTATATTGAGTATTTTGTAACTTTACTAAATTCATTATTTCTAATAGGTTTTTTGTGGAATCTCTAGGGTTCTCTGTGTATATATGATCATGTCACCTGCTAACAGAAACAATTTGACTTTTTTTTCCCACCCAATTTGGATGGGTTTTATTGCATTCTCCTAATTGCTCTAGCTGGGGCTTGCAGGACCATGACAAATAAAAGTGGTAAAAGTAGCCACACTTGAACAAGATCTTAGAGGAAGAGCTTTTAACTTTGCCCCATTGATTATGATGTTAGTTATGGGTTTGTCATATACGGCCTTTATTGTGCTGCGTTCCTTCTCTACTCATTTTGAGTTTTTATTATGAAGTAATATTGAATTTTATTTTTTTCAGCATCTACTGAAATGATTGTATGGTTTTTGTTCTTGATTCGTGATGTGTGACATTTATTTATTTGTGTTTGTTGAATCATTCTCATATTCCTCTGATGAATCCCCAAGTATTTTGTTGAGGAATTTTTGCATCTGTGTTCATCAGGGATATTTGCCTGCGGTTTTCTTTCTGTGTTGTGTCCTGGTCTGGTTTTTGTAGCAGGGTAATGCTGACCTCATAGAACAGGTTTGGAAGTACTCCTTCCTCTTCATTTTTCAGGGAATATTTTGAATAAAGTTGGTATGACCTTTTTAAAAAATGTTTGGTAGAATTCAGCAGTAAAACCATAATTCTTATGTTTTTATTTGATGGAAGATTTTTATTACTGCTTTAATTGCATTACTCATTATTAGTCTGTTCAGGTGTTTTATTATTATAACTTGTGAAATTGCTATGTTTCCAGCAATTTATTCATTTCTCCTAGATTTTTCAATTTGTTTGTATATAGGTGTTTTTAGTAATCTCTTATGATCCTTTGTGTTTCTGTGTTGTCAATTGTAATGTCTCCTTTTTCATCTATGATTTTACTGCAGTTTTCTTTCTGTTTTTCCTAGGCTCGTTATAGCTTGTCAATTTTTTTTTCAAGAAAAACCCCAGCTCTTTGTTGCTTTGTCTTTTTGTAATTTTTTTTTAGTTTCTATTTTTAAAATTCCTTCTCTAATCTTTATGATTTATTTCTTTCTGCTAATTTTAGCATTTGATTTTTCTCACTTTTCTCATTACTTGAAGTGTACTGTCAGGTTGGCTATTTGAGGTCTTTCTACTTTTCTGATTAGGCATTTATAGCTATGCACTTTGCCTTTTACAACTGCTTTTGCCGCATCCCACAGGTTTTGTTATGTTGTGTTTCTATTCTTATTTGTTTCAATTAATTTTTAATTTCCTTTGTTCCTTTCAATGAATTTTTAATTTTTTTATTTATTGGTTGGTCGTGAGCATGTTTTAATTTTCATATATTTGTACAGCTTTTAAAGTTCCTGCTATTACTCATTTCTAGTAGTATTCCACTGTGGTCATAAAAGATAGTTGATATGATTTCAGTTTTTAAAAATGTGCCGTTACTTGCTTTTTGTCCTAACACACAGCCTATCCTGGAGAATAAGCCATGTGCTACTGAGTAGAATGTGCATTGTGCAGTCATGGAGTTGTGCAAAGCTGTGTAAATTTCTGTTAGGTCTATTCCGTGTAGAGTACAGCTTAACTTATGATTTTTTGTTGTCTGGATGATCTGCCCATTGACGATAGTGGTGTGTTGATTATAGTGGAGTGTTGAGGTACTCTATTATTATTATCATTATTATTATTATTAATTATTTTTTGAGATGGAATTTCTCTCTTGTTGCCCAGGCTGGAGTGCAATGGTGCAATCTCAGCTCATTGCAACCTCTGCCTCCCAGGTTCCAGCAATTCTCCTGCCTCAGCCTCCTGAGTAACTGGGATTACAGGCATGTGCCACCATGCCCTGCTAATTTTTTGTATTTTTAGTAGAGACTGGGTTTCTCCATGTTGGTCAGTCTGGTCTGGAACTCCCAACCTTAGGTGATCCACCCACCTTGACCTCCGAAAGTGCTGGGATTACAGGCGTGAGCCACCGTGTCCGGCTGGAATCTTAAAAAGTTTAATACATGGAAGCAGAGTAAAATGGTGGTTACCAGGGACAGGGAGGTGGGAAAAAAGGGGATCTGTCAGTCCAAGAGTACAAAGTTGCAGTTATGTGATTATAGTTATTAATACTGTATACTGGAAATTTGTGAAGAGTATATTTCTTCTAACTATATGAGAAGATAGATGTGTTCATTAGTTTGACTGTAGTAATTATTTATGTGTGTATATATATATATACACAAACACATAGATTTTCATATATATGAATCAGGCTGTCCACTTAAATATATTTAATTTTATTTTAAAAATAAAAATATGAAACAGAAAAAAAGCATGCATATAGTCTTAAACTCAATTACGGATATAAATAAGTACACTGCTAATCAGAGCAGTGAATTAAATATCAGTTACATTTGTTTGTTTATATTGTAACCGTTCCTTTTATTTTCATATGTTTTCTATTTATAATTATGCAAATATTTAATGAGTTCACAATGCAACTATATATTAAATATGCTCACCATATTTGAGAGGTGATGAATGTTACAAGTTTTAGGTCATAGTCACTGTAAGAATGTTCCCTTGGGAAGTGTTATTTTCTGTTGGTTTGTATTTTAAAACGTTTACCACCACCAAGAGATAGCCTGGGTTTTTCTAATCTTCACCTGCCATAAAGAATGTTATAATGAACGCCTCTGAGCCTATATCACTATGGGCTATTAAGCATGCTTCTGACAGCTTCTTAGATTTGGAATTGCTGATCCAAAATCAATGAACATGTTAAAATATGACAATTTTCACCCTCAAATATGCTGTTAAAAATCATAATTTCATTAATTTTATGTAATAGTACAGTACCAATTTTCCCACGCTTCACACTACAATCAGATACTATAAATTTCTTTAATTCTTATATATATTACAGGCAATAAAATCATCTCATTGCTTTTTCAACTTGAAGTTTCTGATTACTGTAATTCTAAATGTACCGTGTCATGTTTATTATATAGTTTATATTACATTTTGTGAACTCTACTTTCAGTCTCCTTTACTGCAAAAAGTAATATGTGTGGAAACAAAATTGGTTTTATTCAAGAGTATCTTTTCTTTGTCTAAGGTCTGTTTGAATTAGGCAAGAAAAAAATCACATATTCATCCAAACAGTACAATGTCTGTGTCCATTTCACAGTAGCAATACAATGTGAATAGAATCACACTCATGTCTCCCATGACAAAACTAACGCCTTAAGTACAACATTCATTTTGCATTGAAAATTCATTTTTTAAATATTTTCAGCTACATATGGTCAATTTCTCTTTGTATGTTGCATAGCTTCCAGTTGCATCTAGGAGTCTTTTATTTTTCGATAGTTTTGGGATACTGGTGGTTTTTACTTACACAAGTAAGTTCTGCAGTGGTGATTTCTGAGATTTTGGTGCATGCGTACCTGAGTAGTGTACATTGCACCCAATATATATTCTTTTATTCCTCACCTGCTCCTCCTTTTCCCTCCGAGTCCCCAAAGTCCATTGTGTCATTCTTATGCCTTTGCATCCTCATAGCTTAGCTTCCACTTACAAGTGAGAACATATGATACTTTGTTTTCCACTCCTGAATTACTTCACTTAGAATAATGGCCTCTGGCTGCCTCCAGGTTGCTGCAAAGGCCATTATTTCATTCCATTTTATGGCTGAGTAGTATTCCACGGTGTATATATACATCATATTTTCTTTATGCACTTGTTGGCTGATGGGCATTTAGTTGATGGGCATGGTTGATGGGTTTCATATTTTTGCAATTGTGAGTTGTGCTGCTATAAACATGCATGTGCATCTGTCTTTTCCATGTAATGACCTCTTTTCCTCTGGGTAGATACTCAGTAGTGTCATTGCTGGATCGAATGGTAGTTCTACCTTGAATTCTTTGAGAAATCTAGGAGTCATTTTAATATAGATAACTGAATTGCAGTTAATTCTCCATCTGGTTTTCCACATTGGTTACTTACTGCTGCTGATTTGAGGCCATTTTTCATTTATATTACTCTATCATTTTATTCATTGTCACATCTCTAACAGTACATGCTGCTTCCAAAGCATATCATGTGAACAGATTAAAATTCTCAAAGTATAATTCTTTGTTGAAGCATTTGTAAGTTTTACACAAGCCCTTACATGATCTGTGTTTTGATTTTTAAGTCATCATCTCTTCTATTTTATTTATATTTACTTTTCTTCTTGTTAGATGTAATCTTATACAAACTTTATAGATAGAAAGATGTTGGGAAACTATCACATAGTCTGTTATGTTTATGGTTTTATTTTAATAGGCCAAATTCGTTGATGAAAAGAGAAATCTTGATAGTTTTTTAATTATGTAGGACACGACATTATTTTATCAGAAAATTGTACATTGAAAATGTATCATTGTGTATAAAGTGGCATGGATTCAACTTTATATGTGTGAATTACATTTGTAATGTTTGAATAGTGGATTACAGTTTTAACATACTTTCACTTCATTTGGTCCTGTTAGGTAAGCAAGGGACCTTGTGTGTTGGAAAAAGAATTACTTCGGTGCAGCCGCCCCAGAGGAGCTGGGGGAGGGCGCTGGGCCGCGAGGCTCCTCGCAGACGACGTGGCAGAGATTTCGGCGAGCCAGGCAAGTGCCGCGGCGGCAGCGGCCGGACCTTGCGCGCAGCAGGGCGGCCTGGGCTAGGGCCTCCCTCCGGTTCCCTGGAAGCGGGCCCGCGGCGAGCACCCAAGCAGCAGCAGAGGCGGAGGCTCCAGCGCGTCTGTCTTCTCCCTCAGCCTGAGCCAGGGGAGTCCAGGCGGCCCGGGTGTCTGGAGCGGGGGTCCGTGACGGAGAATGAGAATTTTCTTCACCAGAACATGGAGACTGTTCCATCACCAGGAGCACAAAGTTTTCATTGTTGGGCTGGATAATGCAGGGAAAACTACCATTCTTTACCAATTTTCTATGAATGAAGTTGTACATACATCTCCTGCAAGAGGAAGTCATGTAGAAGAGTTAGTGATTAATAATACACATTTTCTAACGTGGGATATTGGTGGCCAAGAATCTCGTCGTTCTTCGTGAAACACCTACTATACTAACACAGAGTTTGTAATAGTTGTTGTGGACAGTACAGAGAGGATTTCTGTAACTAGAGAAGAACTCTAAAATGTTAGCGCATGAAGACCTAAGAAAAGCTGGTTTGCTTGAGTTTTGTTAATAAATGAAATGTTAAAGAATGCATGACTGTAGCAGAAATCGGCCAGTTTTTGAAGCTACCTTCTATTAAAGATCACCAGTGGCATATCCAGGCATGCTGTGCTCTAACTGGCGAGGGATTGTGCCAAAGACTTGAATGGATGATGTCACCACTTTAGATTAGATGATCTCTACTGACCTCATAGATTTTGTATAAATGAAGTGCTGGACTTTACCTGAAAGCTGCCAAAATTAATGGTTTAGATATATTTATAATAAACATTTAAACTTTTTCTGTAAGAAGAAATATTAAGACCACTTATTTGAACAGAAAGATGGAGAAGGAGGAGGGAGAAGAAAAAATGCCCCAGCGACGGCGGCTGTTGGTTGTGCGGCGGCAGCGGCTCTCCCCCTGGCGGAGGATGGACAGCCAGGACGGGAAGGAGGTGGTGTGCCGCAACGGCACCGGGTTTGTGAAGTGTGGATGTGCAGGCTCTAACTTTCCAGAACACATCTTCCCAGCTTTGGTTGGAAGACCTGTTATCAGATCAACCACCAAAGTGGGAAACATTGAACAAGGATCTTATGGTTGGTGATGAGGCAAGCGAATTACGATCAATGTTAGAAGTTAACTAGCCTGTGGGAAATGGCATAGTACGAAATTGGGATGACATGAAACACCTGCAGGACTACACGCTTGGACCAGAGAAACTTAATATAGATACCAGAAATTGTAAAATCTTGCTCACAGAACCTCCTATAAACCCAACCAAATACACAGAGAAGATTATAGAGGTAATGATTGAGATTTAGCAGTTTTCCAGTGGGTATGCAGCCATCCAGACCGTTCTGACTTTGTACACGCCAAGTTTATTGACTGGTGTAGCCGTAGACTCTGGAGATGGTGTGACTCATATTTGCCCAGTATATGAAGGCTTTTCTCTCCCTCATCTTACCAGGAGACTGGATATTGCTGGGAGGGATATAACTAGAAGCGTGTTGCTTCTATTGCGAGGATACGCCTTCAACCACCCTGCTGATTTTGAAACGGTTCACATGATTAAAGAAAAACTCTGTTACTTGGGATATAATATTGAGCAAGAGCAGAAACTGGCCTTAGAAACCAAAGTATTAGTTGAATCTTATACACTCCCAGATGGACATATCTTCAAAGTTGGGGGAGAGAGATTTGAAGCACGAGAAATTTTATTTCAGCCTTACTTGATCAATGTTGAAGGAGCTGGTGTTGCTGAATTGCTTTTTAACACAATTCAGGCAGCTGACACTGATACCAAATCTGAATCCTACAAATACATTGTGCTTTCTGGAGGGTCTGCTATGTATCGTGGCCTGCCTTCACCGTTGGAACGAGAACTTAAACAGCTTTACTTAGAAGGAGTTTTAAAGGGTGTTGTGGAAAAACTTTCTAAATTTGAGATCAGCATTGGAGACCCACCCAGCAGAAAGCACATGGTATTCCTGGGTGGTGCAGTTCTAGCAGATACCATGAAAGACAAAGACAACTTTTGGATGACCCGACAAGAGTACCAGGAAAAGGGTGCCCGTGTGCTGGAGAAACTTGGTGTGACTGTTCGAAAACTCCAAAGCTTGTTCCCAACATACCCATAATGCTTTCTTTTTTCCTTTATTGCCAATCTTTGAACTCATTCAACTCTGGGACATGGAAGAGGCCTCTCTCTGCCTTTTGACTGGAAAGGTCAAGTTTTATTCTGGTGTCTTGGGGAAGCTTTGTTAAATTTTTGTTAATGTGGGTAAATCTGAATTTAATTCAACTGCTTCCCTACATAGACAAGAGGGCTAAGGGTCTTGTCTGCTGCTTTGTTTCTTCTAAGTAGGCATTTAGATCATTCCTGTAGGCTTCCTATTTTCACTTTACTACTCTAAGGCTGCTAGTTGTAATCTTTAGCACACTAGGTGGTATGCCTTTATTAGTGTAAGAAAAAAACTTTAACAGGAGCTTTTACATGTTACTGAGATGGGGGGCGGTTCGGGATGGGTGGGCAGCTGCTGAACCCTGTAGAGCATTTCCTCTGTAGTGTGGCGCTTTCAACTGTACTGCTGCGGCTTTAATTACCTGAAAGCTTCTCCTGTGAACATCTTAGGGAAATGTTAGGTTCAAAATGAAAGTGTTTTGGGTAGTTTTTGTTGGGATGGGGGGGTAACAGTGAGTGGTCTTCTGAGTTTTATTTTTGAGGTTTTCTCTCTGGAGTACATAGAGGAACTTTATTTACAGTAGTTTGATTTGGCAGGTTTTCTTCTACTTGTGCTCTGCCTGGAGCTGTTTCCATATGATATAAAAAGCACAAGTGTAGTATTTATGTGTTTTTTAAAATCAACTGTGTTAGCTGGGACTAGACTCCCTACAATGTATCAGTGGAAAAGTAACATTTAAAAATCATTTTGGGCCGGGCGCGGTGGCTCACGCCTGTAATCCCAGCACTTTGGGAGGCCGAGACGGGCGGATCACGAGGTCAGGAGATCGAGACCATCCTGGCTAACACGGTGAAACCCCGTCTCTACTAAAAAATACAAAAAACTAGCCGGGCGAGGTGGCGGGTGCCTGTAGTCCCAGCTACTCGGGAGGCTGAGGCAGGAGAATGGCGTAAACCCGGGAGGTGGGGCTTGCGGTGAGCTGAGATCCGGCCACTGTACTCCAGCCTGGGCGACACAGCGAGACTCCGTCTCAAAAAAAAAAAAAAAAAAAGTGCTTACGATCTGGTGTTTTTTTAATGCTTCTGTTTATTCCAGAAGCATTAAGGTGACCCATTGCCAAGTGTCATTCTTGCAAATTACTCTTTTATGTAACTGACCAGTGCTTAATAAAAGAAGCAGGTACTTACAAATAATTACTGGCAGTAGGTTATAATTGGTTTAAAAATAACATTGGGATATGGGACTTGTTGCTAGTTGGGTAATTTTCATTAGTTTTTTTGTTTTGATTTGAAAACCGAAAGTAGAGTAAAATTTGACTGTTTAAAATGTTGGCCCCCCCAAAAAAATCAAGATTTAAATTTTTTATTTGTACTCAAAAACTAATCATAACTGTTAATTCTCAGCCATCTTTGAAGTTTGAAAGAAGAGTCTTTGGTATTTTGTAAATGTTAGCAGACTTCCCTGCCAGTGTCAGAAAATCCTATTTATGAATCCTGTAGGTATTCCTTGGTATCTGAAAAAAATATCAAATAGTACCCATATATGAGTTATTTCTAAGTTTGAAGAATAAAAAGAAATTGTATCACACCACAAAATACAGGTTCTGGAAAAAAATATTTTTCTTCATTTTAAAACTTTTGTTAACTAATAATGGTTTTGAAGGAAGAGTCTTAATTTGGGGGTGACTAAAATCAAAGACATTATTGACTTGAGGGGCCTCTGTTTTGTAAGAATACATAATTAGCTTAAATAAGCGGTAAAAGGTTAGTTTTAATTGTGTAGCTTTTGTTAATATTGTCTTTTTTGTCTGTTTTACCTCAATATGAACAGATAAGTTTGCCTGCATGTTGGAGATGCCTTGGAACACATGAATAACCCGTACTAGATCTTGGGAATGTGGATTTTAGAGTCACTTTGGAATAAGTTCTTATATAAATACCCCCGGCATTTTGAGAATGGGGCTTGTTAAAGGACGCATATGTAGGGCCAGTACCTACTGGCAGTTGGGTTCAGGGAAATGGGATTGACTTGGCCTTTGGTCCTTTGATCATAATTTTAAAATATGGGAGTAGAAAACAACAAATAATGGAATGGACTCCTAAAACAAAGCATTTATCATTTGTCCCTTGAATGTAGAATTTGTTTTTGATTTAATAATTCTGGTAAATGTGACAGTTAAAATGGTGTATTATGTATATATATATTGTAATTTAGAAATTCCATTTTATAATGTTACTATTCCAAGGTGAAATAATGCATTTGAATTTGGGATTTGGGTGGAGTATTAGGTTTAACTGGAGTTGTTGTCAAGTATGAATCCCCTAGGGAAAAAAAAGTTCTGTTTTAAAAAGCAATCTGATTCTTAGCTCTTGAAACTATTGTTAAATTTCCAGTAATTACAAATTATAAATTTTTAAATTACAATTGCCAGTACTTTGACCTTGGAGAAGGGTTTCTTAGAAATACATTTAGTAGGCCGGGCGCGGTGGCTCAAGCCTGTAATCCCAGCACTTTGGGAGGCCGAGACGGGCGGATCACGAGGTCAGGAGTTCGAGACCATCCTGGCTAACACGGTGAAACCCCGTCTCTACTAAAAAATACAAAAAACTAGCCGGGCGAGGCGGTGGGCGCCTGTAGTCCCGGCTACTCGGGAGGCTGAGGCAGGAGAATGGCGTAAAAACCCGGGAGGCGGAGCTTGCAGTGAGCTGATATCCGGCCACTGCACTCCACCCTGGGCGACATAGCGAGACTCCGTCTCAAAAAAAAAAAAAAAAAAAAAGAAATACATTTAGTAATCTCCCCAAGATTTAGTCTTGCATTTAAACTTTTTTCTTTAAAACATGGTGTTGGTTGTTCACTTTTACACAGTTCTGAGTACTGTTAGTATCTGGAAAGTATCTTGACATAGTGGAAAGCTAAACAGTCTAAATTTTTTTTTTTTTTTTTTTTTTTTGAGACGGAGTCTCGCTCTGTCGCCCAGGATGGAGTGCAGTGGCGCGATCTGAGCTCACTGCAAGCTCCGCCGCCTCCCGGGTTCACCCCATTGTCCTGCCTCAGCTTCCCAAGAAGTTGGTACTACAGGCGCCTACTACCAAGCCCGGCTAATTTTTTTGTATTTTTCGTAGAGATGGGTTTCACCATGTTCGCCAGGGTGGGCTCAATCTCCTGACCTCGTGATCCGCCCGCCTCGGCCTGCCAAAGCACTGGGATTACAGGCGTGAGCCACCGCGCCCGGCCAACAGTCTAAATTTAACATGAAATTCTTCTTTTTCATTCAGAAAATGCAATCAGATTTTTTCAAAGTCAAAAAAAAAACAAACAAAAAAAAAAAAAAAAAACAAAGATGAAGTCTCACCTTCCAATTTACTTTCTCATTAGTTTTTACCAAAGTAAGTTATTAAAGCTATGATATTTTTCTCCTAATGAATCCTCTCAGGGTATTGTGTAGCCTGTGGTAAGTACAAAGGGAGAGGAAGACATTTTGAATTTTAAGAGCTTTTTAATCAGTATAACCCTCCCTAGTTGAATGTTGTTTTCTTCTTGTTCCATTAAGTCAAAATACAAATCAGCACAGATACTCAGTTTTCAATCTTTTAAAATGTGATGTTACTTATGAAAAGTATCTTGGTTAAGGTTGTGTGTGTATTTTGTATACACCTCAATTTCAAGTTAATGGCATTGATTCATGTTCTTAAAACAAATAATACAAATATTAATAATATCCTTTGTTATAACCATAATAAGTATAGTATTGGCATCGGTGTTCAGTGCCATTTTATACTTTCTCCCTGTGTTCTCTGTATTGTACTAACCAACTTCCCAAGTGATTGAGGTGTTTGTTAAAAAAAAAAAAAAAGGAAAAGGAAAAAGCATGACATTGTGTATCGATTTTTTTAGTGTTGACCAAAATCACACACATGGAAACATGTAATTCAACAGAGTGGAATAGCGATCAGATTCTCGGCTTAGTATTACTAATGGGCAGGATTGTACAGCGAGCAACTATTAGATTATTCCTTTCAGTGTTTTGTATGGCATCTAAGTTACTGAATAAATTATTAATCCATTAATCATGAATCAAATTATGATTAAAATTATTAAATGGATGCTCAGCATTAACTGAAAACTATTGTGTGAAACGTGTCTACCCAGAAAAGTAACATTCTATAAATACTATTAAACAACTTAGGTGTATGATTTTTAAGTATTAAATTATATGTCAAGCAGTTAAAGTGAATTTCAGAGTAAAAGTACGGCATGTTTCTGAGCAACATTAATAATTCCTTAATTTGCAAATTTCTTCTTTCTTATTTGGGTACTTGGAATATAGTGTGAGATTTTTTATTTCTAAATTTTGTTGCATCTTCTATTACATAAATGCATTGTTTGACAATTATAAAATGCAAGTGTTTTTTGAATGATTTTAAGAATTTGGCTTAAAAATTGATTGACACAATGTATTATTTGTACTAAGAAGCAACTTGACAGACAGTACACTCTGTTTGCTTAGGGTATTTTTCTTCAGTGCCTGAAACTCAAAGGTATTCCTGTCACAGCTGGAAACAAACTTATCCTAAATGTGTTAAAACATATTCTTGGGTACTTTATTTGTGTATCATTCATGCCTTGAAAATCTGAAGGTTAATCCAAGCTCACATGTTTTAGCATATTTGAGGAAGAAAAAAACTACTTTTAATAGCAGCCTTTTAAATTTCATGAAGATTTTGGTGAGGAATAATAGTATATACTTAAGTATGGACGAAACTTTGAAAGTTTCTTTCTATAAAATGGGAAATACTCAATATCTAAACCCAGGCCAGGCAGGGAGATCAGTATTTAACATTGTATGTTTTATATTTATAATGCTCAAAATGCAAGGATAACATTTAGTCTTTGTCCACATGGTTTTAGAAAAGTAAATCTTAAATTACCAAGCTTTTCTCATGTGTTCTCATACTTTCTCAAATTACTATAAAGAATTATTTGTTATCTGTTGAAAAATCCCCTTCACTCAAATCTGTATTATGGTTTTACCAAATATTCTGTGATGTAGCCCAGAAAATCCGCACCTTTTGTCCTTTTTATGTTTTAATTTGAATAATCATGTACCTTGGATTGCTGCCACATCAGTTTAACATGATATCAGCACATTCCCATGTCATCAAGGTGTTGGCTCAGATTTGTTCTTATTTGGATGTTTAAAGCTTGCAGTAACTTGTTACAGTTGGTTTAGTGTAGTGGGTTATTGACATGACACCATGAGAAGATGTGGAATTTTATACCACATTTATAAAACATGATTTTGTTTTCTACCCTTCAAGGTAAACATGAAAAATAAGGTGGTATCTGTGTACCTGTACATAAATCCAAAATTATAGTTGGGAAAAAAGAAATTGATATATGAAAATGTCAAAAAAAATTACTTTGGTGCAAGAAAGGTTAATTGATGATTAGGACTTTCGATAAGTTAGCAAATTGGATACTGTATTCAAATCTTGGATTCAATATTGGGCTGACAATAGTACTGTTTTTAAGGTTTCTATGAGGACTAAGTGAGAGAACTTACTAAAAATGCATTCAATATATGTTTATTATGTCGTTATCTCCTTACTCCCTTTGTGGAGTTTATGAAGCAAGTCTCACAGAAGTTTGAATCACTTGTCAAATATAACCTATTTCAGAATCCCCGAGGATTTATGCTTTCTATTCTAAAAACTGCTTTGTAAAATGTGGAATAAATGACCAGTGCCATTGTCTAGTCCAATTTGTTTATTTTACATCAGAGAAATCTGAGTCACAGAAGGCTTACTGTATCAGCCCATGGCCAGGCCATTAGGTTTTGAGTAGGTCGGAAATTGTGATGGTACCTTCTTTTGTATTTTAAGATGTGTTAATATTGTGAGTACAAAAATGATGATTTCATAACAGAGTGTGAAATCTGAGTGTGGTAATCCAGCAAAGTGCATTGTAATTTTAAATATGGAAGAATATTACTGATTTTGAGTTTTCGTTTTGTTTTAATCTGTGAGAAATACTGTATCTCACATTTGCTATGTTTAAAAATGTATGCATATAAACTCAAACATTTATTTTTTCTCCTCCGAATAGCATCAGGTCATCTAACACAGGTGCTGTTCAGAGGAGAAACAAATAAATGTTTGAGTGAATGAATATTTTTACAAGATTAATATTTTAATATAATTTCTGAAATTAAAGAAAATGGTGTTACATAGTTTAGTTTAATCCATGCTTTCCATAGCAATTAACCTGTGTGCTTACGTTTCAAAGCAGAGAACCAAAACGAGATGAAAGCTGTTTATTCTTGCAGTGTGTGACTGATCAATCTAAGTTGTAGATGCAATTTCTAGCATTCATTAACCTTATCCTTTTATAAAAATTCCTATGGGATGAACTGATAATTTGGAGCCTATTACTTGCACAAAAGCGACACTTCTTGCCCTGTTGAAAGAACTAGACATGCAGTTATGTGAGAAGTAAAATAACCTAATATGTCTTTACAGAAAATGTATTCTGAGAAGAAATAATGTTTTGAATTAACGGTAAATTATTGAAGAATTCACCAGCTTTTCAGTGCTTTATTTAAGCAATAAATAACACATTAGAATTTTCTTTATAATATAAATTTACAAATAGTCATATGTGGGAAGAGTTATAGAAAGCACCTTAATTAAGTAGACCAACAATTATAAAGTGATATGAAAAGTATTTTACAATATATATTTACTAGTCAAAATATTGCCTTATAACTTATCATTCCAAACATAATTTATACAATAGAGCAAATTTAGAGGAAAGAGCTTTATTCATGTAAGAGTTCTTAAAGGAATTTTTATAAGAATCATTGGGGATATTTTTGAAATTATTTTAAAAATTATTAATAGTTGTGTTAAAATACTCATAAAATGAAATTTATCATCTTAATGTTTAAGCACACCATTCAGCGTTGTTAAGCCTATTAATGGCACTGTGCACTCAGTCTCCTGAACTCTTTCTCTGAGCTCATTATATAGCTGTTCATTCCCTTCCCACCCTCCCCTCCTGCCAATCACCCTTCTTTCTGTCTCTAACTTTAGGTACCCCATGTAAGTGGAATTGTAGAGTATGTGTCTTTTTGTGACTGGTTTAACATAGCATAATGTATTTCATGTTGTTGGATGTGTCAGAATTTTTGTCCTTTATAGCTGAGAGTAACATGCCATTTTGTATCTATACTATGTTTTTTTTTTTCTTTCTCTTTGACATGAAGTCTCTGTTGCCCAGGCTGGGGTGCAGTGGCACAATCTCAGCTCACTGAAAGCTCCGCCTCCCAGATTCATGCCTTTCTCCTGCCTCAGCCTCCCAAGTAGCTGGGACTACAGGTTCTCGCCACTATGCCTGGCTAATTTTTTGTATTTTTAGTAGAGATGGGGTTTCACCGTGTTAGCCAGGATGGTCTCGAT